CTAATCATATCTTATGAACCGTCTGATCGAGCACAGTGGCGTGTATTTGCACGAGTGCGTTTTTATTGTTTTATTTATTTGTTCCTTAGAGAACTGTTTCAAGTAGTTGTGTGTCATCGTTCGTCACTCGCTAGTATGACAGAACATTGAGGATGCTGTGAAGGCAACACTGGTGGGAACGACTTCGTTGGTGCTTCAAAACTGTAGCAGTTTTGAAAGAGATGGAGGTTACAAAAATCCCACGTTATGAAGGTTACAAGACGTTTGCTTTTTTCCATTTTTTTCACAACTGCCTTATATAAATTCGCAATACAACAATATGGATGTCAAGCTAAGCAGCAAGAGCGCATATTCTCAAACACGATCGAGAGTGCTCGAATGACAGGTAGAGCGTCCAAATCAAACCCGAGAGTTCCCGAGTTCTAGTTTCGGTCAGGGTTATTCGCCTTTCTTCCTTCCGACATTGATAAATGAGCACAACTCTTACAAATGAGCGGGAAGCAAACAGGAGGCCATATACTGAGCTTGCTTCATTGCCGTTATTAAAATTCTGACTTTAAAATAAGCCACTCCAAGCTGTTGGCACGGAAAAGTAGATCAGCGCCTCATCAACAACTTCATGGAATAAAGGTCGAGATAAGTGTCCCTATCACAGAAGTGCATATACCGATATTGCAACGGTTAAAACTTTCCTTTTCTCTAAAAATAGATAAAAACTAGAGCAATCCATGGAGGGGAGGAATTCGCTCGGTTTTGCATCCTAGCACTCCTGATCTGATTCGAATGACCCAGCGAAACTGTTTCTTATTCAGAGTTAACTTCATAAAATATATATCCCACTGTACTTTGATAAAACCAGCCGACAGAAACGAGTAACATGTGATTGACCGGCGAAAAGTAGCAACAACGCGGCGTTCTGATGTTTGTCACGCCGAAGCTTCGGACACCTACGACCATGCCGTATAGTACTTGACTTACAAATACAATCTAAATTTACCCCTCCGACAGCAGACCATATGAGCCAACCCGGTGTTCGGTACAAATTTTATTTAATGGAACGTTTATCGGACAATTGCTGTAACTGAGGAAGCAACTAACAGTGAATTTTTCATCATCAGCAGATATATTTCATTCATTAAATCATTATATCACTTTAATGTAAAACATTTGTTATAAACACAATTACGAGATATGAGCTTAATTAATGAGGAGTAGGGCAGTCGTACAATCAAACAAAGCTCAAGCAGCAGAGTTTAATAGTGAGTTTATGGTAGTATGATGCTCAGATCAAATTAAACAATATCACGAATTATGATGTCGTATATCATTCTGAACAGAAGCAGTGGCGAAAGCCGAAACTGATTCCAGGGAGAAGAACCGTGATGTGTTGGAGTCAAATTTCCAAACAGCAAACAAGGTACTCTGGCAGATCATCCACCACCTCCGAAGTGAAAAGAAGAGCAGTCTAAGATAGCTGAAGTACTAGTCTGGACACTCTCTGACCGAGGAAGAGTACATTCCTCGGCAATGGAGAGAGAACTTTCTGGAACAGCTTAACCCCGATCAACCGCAAGAAGACTGGCCTGAAGAGCAACAGGGAACGGATATAAGTATTTCTGTAAATAACATCACACATGCAGTCAAAACCTTGAAAACTGAAAAGACTCCTAGAATCGATGAAATCCGCCCCGAAATGCTTAAAGTATTACACGAATGAGGTATCTGTTGGCTTTTGCGTGTCTGTCCAAATGCGGTAGTCTTGAGGCAGATACCAGCGAAATGAACAACGCAAATTTTAGTACCCTTGTTAAACAAGGGAGACAACGGCAAGAGCTCCAATTATCGCGCATCATCATAACAAACCTCCCGGAAAAGTTTGCGCAAAAGTGTTGGAAAAGATGTGTCCCAAAATAACAGAATCTGAGATTCAAGAAGAGTAGTATGAATTCGGTCAGGCCCAAATGAACGTTCGCCTTACGCCAGACTGTTGAGAAACCGGGGTAGCTCGGACATCTGGTTTATACTTCCTTTTTTGCGTGTATTCGACCGGCTCTTACGCGACAATCTACGGGGTAATTGCAAAAATATGTGATCTACCGCAAGCTACTACGGTCTGTAGCTATCACCACATGCTGACTGCAGGTGCTGTTTCAGAATAAATGGCGTTAAATCGAGAGCTTTCAGCAATGCCACTGGTTTTCACCAGGCTGCGTTTTCTCAGCTCACCCTTGTGTTTTACATGCATGGGATAGTCAGGATCTGCCTCGGGGATGAATGCTTTAACCTAAGGGTTACTGATACGAGAAGGTGCTGTTTGCAAACGACTTTATTTTGTCAATCACTTCTGAAGCTGATTTCCAGAAAGTTCATTGCAGAGTGTAACGTGACCGGCATGCTTGTGAACGTATTAAAAGCGACGCGTTTCGTGCTTTCTCCTTCTCATGCTAATTCTACCACTGAACCTACTGGTCGTTACAGCCGATAACTTATTAAGCGCTAATACGAAAAGGATAGTGTTCCCATGTCGAAGAACAAAAGGATTTTATAAGGATGTCAAGATGAGACGTAAATCTTATTTTAGAACGATGTTTCTGACTGTTTCATCATCGTCACATAAAATTGCCCGTCTAGTTAATGGATACTGTGATGCATAAATCTCAACCAATATAAAAAATTTAATCGTTTACTTAATCTCCGCACCTTGAAGAGTCGCGTCGAAAGAACTGCTGTCTAGAAAGTTTCTCTTCAATTGGCATTAAATTGATAGGAATTTTAGAAAAGATATTTAACAAGTATTTATTTTAATTTATTGTTTTAGAACGATTATTTTAGAAAAAGTATTTATTAATTAGGAAACAAATAAGCCGGATGTAAGGTCGAAACACTATCTTCAGTCGAGTGCGCTTTCAAGTTATGAAACTTCAGTCTGAACCAAAGTGCGAAGCTAAGGCTTTCGCGCATGTTTGCATTCACGACAACGTTGTGACGGATAGCGACTCATCTCAGAGAGCCAACATAAGCCGTTTTTACCCGGAATCAAAGTTTTACAATGATGGTTCATAACCTATGAACATAGGTAAGCACAGGGACGAAAATCTGCTTGAACAACGAGAACTCATTCTTCAGATCCAGCGCTGCGTTTTTTACAACGCATCGATTGTTCTACTTCAAACAGAATGCTACTGGCTACTCCAATTTGACGGTCGTTCTCTTCCTCAAATTTTCTGTCACTAGCAATCA